GCTGCTTTAAAGAAATGCTATAGGACATATTGCTGTATACACATCTTTGCATTCATTTATGTCAGTGTAGAGAATAATTTTACTTTTTAGTTGTTTTTGATGAGTTACACAGACAATAAACGTTTTTTAATAGTTTGTCTTTTAAAAATACTAATGTATTGAGGCCGGGCATGGTGACTCACACCTGTAACCCTAGCACTTTGGGAGGCTGAGATGCGTGGATTACCTGAGGTCAGGAGTTCGAGACCAGCCTGGCCAACATGGTGAAACCCCATCTCTACTAAAAATACAAAAATTAGCTGGACGTGGTAGTGGGCACCTGTAATCCCAGGTACTGGGGAGGTGAGGCAGAAGAATCACTTAAACCCAGGAGGCAGAGATTGCAGTAAGCCGAGATCGTGCCATTGCACTCCAATCTAAGTGACAGTTTTTTTATTAAAAAAAAAAAAACTTACATATTGAAAGACAGTACATCTACTTGAGCAAGCATTAGGGCATCCTCAACTACACTATAATGAACCTAAGAAGTTAATACGAAGTCTTTGATTAGTAATTTATATTTAGTGTAGTATATTTCTTCATGTTTTCTGTTTGTTTTTAATTGATGATAACGTATCCTTTTGCATTCAAAAATCATTTCTGAGTTCTTATGGAAAAAACAGCCCACCCCCGTTTTCTGCTTCAGGAAAAGCTCTGTGAGGATGTCACATCTTCAGAAATCTTTCAGGAAGTATGGATTTGTTATGAAACAAATAAATGTTAAATATAAGGCAACAGTGTATTTCTGAAAAGTTTATCACCCTCTCTTACTCTTCTAGTTGGCTATAACTGTGTTGAATAAATATGCTACATGAGTAATAAACTACTTGAATCAGCAGTCCTCACAATATTAAAGCTCTTTAGACTTAATATTTATAGTGAAAAAAGGGGATCAAATAAATCAAATAAGTTAGAAAGAAACTGCTTGCTGTATTCCCTACCCCCAATCTTAGATACATAGTTCACATTAGAACAGTAAAATCCCTTTTTAAAAAAGCTCAGATTTTTCAGTATAGTCACTTTTAGAAACAGTGTTCTACAGAACTTATTATGGGACATACTCACTGTTTTACTGAAGTGTTACAGCTAGTTAATTGAACATATATTAGTTTATTGTACAGAATCCTTATGTTGCATGTGAATAGTGTGCAGTTTGATTTTAGAGATAAATGTCTTGTCCTACAATATAGCTGACCAAATGTGCTTGACCTGAGAAGCCCAAGTGCTAAAGATGTTCTCCAAATCTCACCTTATTAAGAAAGTAATGGTAATGTGGCTTCAGGTGTAATCAAACATTATTCTCTTAAGTTAGATTGGGAATTTTTGTTTCAATGGTAAATACATTTGTGATTTTGTTTTCATAAAGATTAATCATACATGAGAGAAAAAAATGGGGACTATTGGATAGAGAAGCTTCATAAATCTCTATATATTTATTTCAGAGAATGACTTTTTCTGTGATATGTATTTAATATAAATTTCAATTAAAATACATGATATAGACAGTTTAGAAAATCATCCTGAAAATCTAGCCAGAAAAACCAACTATCATGTATTTATAAACATAATCACAAACATCTCTTGTGAATATATATATAGTAAGTTAGGTAACCCTATGTGGGGCAGCCAGCGAGGCAAGTAGGTAGAAAGACTGACAAAAAGAATCACATCATACATGCTATTTTAAGTTAAACTAATTATAATGGTTTAATTAATTTGATTAATTATGTTTATCAATTAGCTGATATAATTTAGTTATAATTGTTAATTTTGTTTAAATTAACAGAACATAAAACTAAAATGAAAATGATTTAATTTTTACATTCAGATAATGTTTTTGTTACAGAGCGAATAGTTCTTAAGATATCTTTAAAGTTAAATATAAACATAAGCATACATATACACATGTATGCATAAAACACACACACACATAGAGAGAGGTTTATTGACAAACAGATTTGACAATGAGGAAATTAAACCACCTCACTTCTCCATACTTCCTGGTTTTTGTTGAGGTATATTGTTATTTTAATGTTTTAAAACACTTTTATTCTGTAACCATAATTTTCGTGGCTATATTGTATTCTGTAATTAAATGGATTTGCTGGATACCACCAAGTACCAGCAGCAACCCTCGAGTTTAAGGATGAGAACAAGTCATCTGTGTTCTTTGTAGAAAACTCAGAAAATGAAAATGAAGTTAATAATGGTGTAATGAAAAAATGACTTATAATTGTGCTTTACATATTAATGTATGATATATATATTCCTAGAGTTTTAAATTTATATGTATTAACTGCCATAGATACATACTTTCTTTCCTTTTATCTGTTATTCTCTAATTTATATATTGAGAACATTCTGGTCAATCTATAAATTTATGTCTACCTGTTACTTAACTGACTACACAATATTCTAATACAATTGTCCCTTGGTGTCCATGGGGGATTGTGCCAAGACCTCCCTTGGATACCAAAATTCATGAATGCTCAAGTCCCTTATATAACATGGCATGATATTTGCATATAACCTATGCACATCCTCCCATATACTTTAAATCATCTCTGGATTGCTTATAAGATATCATGCAATGTAAATGCTATAGAAATAGTTGTTATACTATATTGTTTAGGGAATAATGACACAAGTCTGTACATGTTCAGTACAGATGCAATTTTATTTTATTTTTTACTGCTTTTAATCCAAGGTTGGTTGAATCCATGGATGCATAACTCAAGGATATGGAAGGCCAACTGCTTAAGAATATGCCATGACTTATTGACCCAAGGTTTTATTGTTGTACATTGACGTTGCTTCTCATTTTTTCCATTGATAGTGAATGTCCTTCTATACACTTTTTTGCAAATGTGTGTACATTTTTTCCCTGGGACATGTTCTTTTCTTGAGTCAAAGAGGAGATTAAATTAGAAATTATGTTTGTATTGTTTAGGGTTCTCCAGAGAAGTGGAACCAATAGGGTGTGTGTTTGTATGTATGTAGAAAGAGAGATTGATTTATTATAGATTACAAGGAATTGGCTCATATGATTTCAGAGGCTCAGAAGTCCCAAAATCTGCAGTCAACAAGCAGGGGACTCAAGAGAAACAATGGTGGAGTTCCAGTCTGAATTTGAAGGCTTGAGAACCAGGAGAGCCCATGATATAACTTCTGTCTGAAAGCCAGCACACTCAAAACCCAAGAAGAACTGACGTTTCACTTCGAGTCTGTAGGCAGAGAAAGACGGATGTCCTAGCTCAAGTCAGTCATGCAGGAGGAATTCCCTCTTACTCATGGGAAGGTCACCCCTTTTGTTCTGTTCAGGCCTTCAGCTGACTGGATGAAACCTACCCACATAGGGGAAGGCAATCTGCTTTACTCAGTCTCCTGATTCGCATTTTAATCTCATCCACAGATACTCTCACAAACACATCCAGAATAATGTTTAATCAAATATCTGGGAACTCCATGGCCCGGTCAAGTTGATATGTAAAATTAACATTACAGTATCCAGTATCCATCTTAACTTTTATTAGTCCAAGATTTTCTTTACTCCCACTTTCTCTCAACCCATTGCAAGATAGCATCATAGTCCATTTCTTCAGTCTCCTGTTTTCTACTGGGTGGGAGCCTCTTTATGTACCAATGGTGATTTTTCTATAATAATTTTAGACAGTGATGTAGACTAACCCCTTTTGGGCATTTCCTCATACAAGCAAGAATGAGTACATATGCAGATGAGAGAAGGTAGAGAGACTTTAGTATCTGTTATGCCCCCTAGACTCAGTGGTTGAAGGATAGAGGGTCTTGCTTTCCACAGTGAGTCCCACCAAGTCTTCTGTGTTTTGTAGATGTTACTTGCCCATAGAAGGAACTTAATATTTGTTTGTTCAGTAAAAAAATCAACAGATGCAAAGTTAAAAAAAAATTCTGGTATGTGATAGGAGAGATTGTTCTGTGCTGAAGCAAGATATGCCACTAAATCAGAAACTTCTCCTGGTGTCAGTTAAATTAATAGGAAGCAGTCATACTGGAAGGTTACCTCATGAAAATATTGTACTGGCAATATATTATTTATTTTTAATGAAATACTCTTTCTTCTTGGCTTCTGTAAGTTTGTGCAGTAACAACTTTCCATCCTCAGGCCCCAACTTTTATCTCTTTTTCTAACTATCAAGTTTCTCTCTCCACTGGTAAAGACGTGATTCTTTTATATATACACACAAAATATATTTTTACATACACATATAAGAGGTATTTTATATTACTAGCCAATGTTAGCGAATGTGTATATACAATATATTATATCCAAAGTATTTCTTTGTGTTTTTTTAACTTATATTTCTCTAATGAGTGAGGTTAAGTATTGAACAGATATTTAAAAACTATAAGCTTTTAAACAGAACGGGCATATTGCTGATTCCAGTATTTGACAACCACCTTGTTTTTTCAGATAAGAAGACTGAAGCACAGAGACCATAAGGCATCAGCCTATGGTCATTCACTTGGTGATTGTCAAGCCAAAGGTCACACCAAGGCCCTCTGGCTAGTGATAACCTTTGTACTAGGCTGCTTTTCTGTAAACTCTTGAATGAATGAAAGAAAGAACACATCCTGTTGACTTTTGAACTTGAATCTAAACAAAACCTATGTTGAACTTTAAGTTTGTAGTCTAAGAACTTTCAAACTTAAACTTGTTACAAAAGGAGATCATGAGCACAACCACTTTCTTTGGTATGGAGAGTATCACAGTGAGAGCCTTGCCTCTGGAGCTACACTTAAATTAGCACTGTGACCTTGGGCAAAGAGGAGGCTTATCTTTCTTTAAAACAATTTAATAACAAGAGTGAAAACAAAGGCAAAACCAAACTCACAAATCGAAACTGTTTATTATATAGAAGATTTCTAATATTTTATATTTGTGCTTTATTTTAATTTTTAATTTTTTTTTTTTTTAATTGCAGGAGAAGCTATTGTCCAGATCTCTTCAGAGGGGTGAAGATCTTCAGTTTGATCAGGTATGCCAATTTTGGGAGAATTTTTTTTCCCCCTGGAAATAGTGTTCATCCTAATAGTCTGACCCAAATATATTCAATATTAAGGAATTCCTTAATTTTGTTTCGTGATGCTATATATCCTTGTATGCTTAATTCATTCTAGAATTGATAGTTTTTAAAAATAAGTAGTAAAGTGAACTGTGATTAGTTTCACTTCATTTAGCTTTTTACAACTTTGCATCATTAATCTCTTTAATGTGCCCGTTCATATTTTTCGTTTTCAGTTACATCCTTCTATATCAATTGCCACACTTTTTACATAATAATATTTTACCTCTTAACATTTATTTATTTGTCTGTTTTGACTCTCAATCTGCATGTAGAATGCCAGTGTCTAACAACTCTTGTGCTGATCTTCTAATGTTAATTCTTCCTCTTGCTTGGATTAAATGTTGGATCAGTTTTGTTATAAGTATTTTAATATATGGTTGTTGTTTTTTAAAACCAGTAACTTAAATTAGCTTTCTTTACTATATAGTATTCCTGGGACACTGACCCAAAATTTTATATCTCAGAAACAGAGTTTAATGTTCATATTAGGCTAATTGACTAAATAAAGAAGAGTGGTTAGAATTACTTGGTGGAGACTTACCAAAATACTGTGTTCCAGGATCCCACTCCAGTTCTGCTGAAGCAGAATCACTGAGGGTGGTGCTGTAGTCCCCTGTATGTATAACAGCTTCCTTAGTGATTCTGATATATACACTTAGTAAATAGCCACTGGTCTAAGAAGAAACCATAAATAGGGCAGTAAGACCTCTGTTACAATAAGACTATAATAAGATCACCTTATACAGTGCTTTTCAGGTCTCATGCCACTACAAAAGTTATTTAGATTACTCACATCTTGAATCCAGGTACTAATCAATCCATAATCAGGATTTGAAATCTGATTAAACAACATTTTAAGTACAATTTTTGTTTTTATTGTAAATGGTTAATAAAGTATAAATGATTGTGCCTCATAGCTTGATTTTTTTTGGAAGGGTGCTCACAGTAAAAAGTTCTGTGTGGTATAAACTGTTTTGTGTATGTTTACGATAGTTGATGGGTTTTATTGTTCCTTCTTTAGATAGTACAAGGGATTTCCTCTGAGTGATAGTGTTCATTGTTAATAAAATAATAGATTTTTTTGAAAGTATGATTAAATAAAATTAGAGCCTTGTTTTTACCTTAGTTTTCTATATTAGAAACTATTTACCTGTCAAATTATGATAATTTACAATAAAAGGATGATTAAAGGAGAGTATAAGTACTGAAAATAAGAACAGCCAGCAGAATCAGATAAACTGTTTCATTCTTTTCTGTTTTTTTCTGGATGAAGTTTTATGCAGAATATGAAATAACAGGAAAATTAAATGTTCAATTTACAGAGGTATCAATTTATCTTCTTCATTAACTAACTCCTGCTCTAGTCATGGAACTAAAAGAGACCTTGAATATCCTACAACCCATACTTTTTAAAATAAATTAACAGAATGAAGCATATTTAATTGTATACTGATTTCAGAATATTAATTTTATGAGAAATGGGTTGAATTACATGCAGAAATTTTTGTGAAGAGAGAAAAATTTTCTTGGGATCCTCAAGATGAAGAGTGACCTTAGGGACTGCTGATGGTAGCCTGTCCAGACAAGTTGGATTCATTCATGAAACGAATCTGTGATGTTCACCTAGAATTCAGACTGTTTCAAGGATGCCCCAAATTTAGTAACATTTGTTCATCACAGTACACTTACCATTTATGTTGTACTTTTATGTAGTCTAAGCCTTACACACTTGTTTACATGTTTCTAACATGCTAATTTGCAGGTAGCAGAGTAATTATAATTCTCTTTGTCATAGCATAGTAAATTGGAGCTTTCCCCACAGTTCTTATATAATGTAGTCTTTGTTTCTGTCTTTTCATCCATATAGTGGATGTAGTACCAACATTTTAGAATCATTTGTTCACATGAACACATAGGAGTTGCTGGGGCAGGAAGTACATGTTATTTGTAATGCTTCCCCCTAAGATATCTGTGTATTTAATCAGGGATGTTACTAATGGGCATGTTTTCACACATGTGAGTGGCATATGGAGGCAGGGAAAAGGTTGAAAGCCATTGAGCTAAACCGTGTGGATTTGGATAAAATTTAATAGTGGGTGAAACTTAGCCAACTTTATTACTTGGCTAAACCCTTGACCGTTATTTTAATTTTAAAGCACATTTATTGCATTGAGTTACTGTGTTTTTTCATTTCTAAATGATAGCTAATACAACTAAGAGTGTGGTACATTCAGTGTTACACTTTATTTTCTGGTAATATCTTGTGTTTTCAGTTGATAAGCTCTATGAGCTCAGTAGCAGAGCACTGTCTCCCTTCCTTACTTCGCACCTTGTTTGACTGGTACAGACGCCAAAATGGAACAGAAGATGAATCTTATGAATATAGGCCTCGGTCTAGCACAAAGTCTAAGGGGTAAGTGGTTTATTTTACACTGTTTTACCTGAAATTAACACACTTCCAATGGAGGAGTGATATTGTTATCAACTGAAGGTTGTTATTGTTTGATTGCTAAGCCAAATGTGTTGATTCCTTTTGTTACAAAGATGGTAGTAAGGGAGAAGGATAGTTCACACATAAACTATAAATCAAGAGAAGGTACCAGTTAAACTAGGTGTAGCCGTACAGTACTCATACTGGGTATCATGCAAAAATTAGTAATACAAAAACCTATTTAGGAGTGCCATTTCAGCAGTTCAGTGAGGAGCTTTTAATAGTCATAAAGTTAAGAAAATATTCAAAGAAGTTCCTGTTCATATGGCTTATGAAGGGAGGCAATTATTATAATACAGGAAGACTGCCAAAACCCTGTGTTATAATAGTACTATGATACTCTTCTTGGAGCTCAATTCCTAGAACTTGTTTTGTCCTCCTTCAAATTTGCCAGGATAATCTTGTCATGCATGTAAGAGCCACCTGTGTTCAGGTGATTGTCCATGGTTTAGTGTTGGACTTCAGTAGATGCCACTTGTGATTTTTCAACTTAAATTTGTGAGAAGGATACCTTGTACTGTATTTTCATGTTGAAAAGTTAATACTTTTGTTTCAGTTCTTAACAAAAAAAAATTAGTAATCAAATATGTAACAATGCTAGGTTTTCTAAATGAAATTTAAAATACTTTTCTTCTTCTTACTAATTCTTTTAGGTTAGGTTTAAATGCTAACAGATACAATAGTGAACTTTGAATAAACACCCAGTATATAAAAAGGGAAAGAACATAAAAACATGTTAATGCATATGTTGGATTATTAAAAAGCTTTAGGCCGGGTATTGTGACTCATGCTTGTAATTTGCTTTGGGAGGCTCAGGCAGGAGGATCGCTTGAGCCTAGGAATTTGAAACCAGTCTGGGCAATATAGGGAGATCCCTTCTCTAAAAAAAATAAATAAAATTAGCTGGGCATGGTGGCATTTGCCTGTAGTCTAGCTACTTGAGGTGGGAGTATCACATGAACTCAGGAAGTTGAAGCTGCAGTGGGCCATGTTTGCAGCATTGCACTCCAGCCTGGGTGACAGAAAGAGACCCCTGTCTCAAACCAAAAAGACAAAAATAAAAAACAAAAAGCTTCATATTAACAATTGCTGTAGCACATTTTACATAGTAGGAAAACAGTAAGCAACATGAGCTATTAACTAATAGGTATTTTTAAAGTTATAATCTTAATGCAGTACTAATTTTGGGTTCTTGTTTCAGGGATGAACAGCAACGTGAAAGAGATTATCTTCTTGAAAGGAGGGACTTAGCAGTAGACTTCATTTTTTGTTTAGTTTTAGTTGAAGTTCTAAAGCAGGTAAGCTCTTTTATTTCTGCTAAGTCTGTATTCCTTATTCTTTGCTTACTGTGCCTTCATGTTTCAGTTACTTTAAGATGCTGTGTCTAGAATTTTAGTCCACATAAACTAAATTCCTGTAATTTAATTATACTTCTTTCAGTTGCCCGGGGCTTTCCTGCCCTGTACCTAGCTGTCATCCTCTCTTTTTTTCACTGTTATATGCTATCTAAGATATAAAATCTTGTTAGCAAAATGGAGCTGAATGGAAATTGTGTTAATACTGGCTTTTAGCTGTAAATGTATTTGCCTGCCATTCAGCTACTTCAATCCATTATTCCACTTTATTTCTCCTCTAAGCCCCCAAGGCTGCATTCCAACATGTAATAATTGTGCACTTTTAATAGAGGAATGGGGTGATTTGATAAGGGTACTGAATTGTCATGTGCAAAGGGTTTTCAGTCAAGTGAGAATACTTCAGATAATAAGTTATGAATGTTTACTCATTCAATGAATATTAGAATGCCTACTGTGTGCTGGAACTGCTTTAGGCACTAAACTCATGAGCTTACACTTGAATGGGATAGATACACAGTGAAGATATGAATATATAATATAATGTCAGGTATGGTCTTAGTAGTTTTACTACTCTAGATCAGTATAAATGCCTGTGCTGAATTTGAAAGCTTTTTTTTTTTTTTTTTAAAAGATCATGGTCTCTGAAATTATATCATTCAAGGATGATCCATATATTTCCAGGCATGAACACTGTATTATTTTAAAGCAAGTTAGGAAGCCTAAAGGTCAGAATCATAGCAATATGTGACAAACAGCAAATGTAAGATATAAAATTAATTGACAGTCTATTTTTCTCATAGTATAAAAATATATGAATTGTATAATCAGTTTTATTTAGCTTGTGTTTTTATAGGGAATATGAAAAGACAGTTATTTGGTACTCTGAAATCTGCAAATAAACATTTTAAATATGTAAAATAGACAAATGAGTTAATTAAAGGTTAAATCACTTAAATGTATGCATTTCATAAAAATTTTTTGGTCGAGATAGGAAAGAAATCTCCTGTGGGAGTTGTGCTAACAAGCCAAATTTGACATCTGTGATCTCTTGGTTTAACTGAGTTACTAAGACTTTAAGGCAGCAGTAACTAGGGTAGGAAGAGCTAAGGACTGGAAATGGCCACAGCCCAGCAATGGACTCTGACTACTGCTCATTGCGACTTATCCCTGGTGTATCTTGTGTGCTAAATGTAGGTCATTTAAGTGGATTGGTAACCAGTATTTGTACTTTTTTGCTTAAACAGTATAGAGTTTCTTCCTCCAGCCAGAGAAATGGCAGACTCCCTACACTGGCATTCAGGAACCCCAGTGACCTGGCCCCATTGTGCCTTCCTCCTTCGTTCATTTCCCATGGCATCCTTTTCTTAGATGTCAGTCTCACTCCTCATCCTAAAGTTGCCCAATTGCACTGGCTTCGGAACTTCAATTCACAGGCAACCCTGTGGAGGCATTTTTCCTGTCTCTTCCCCCTCATCCTCCCTATCCTCTTCCCCTCCTTGTTGCCTTTGTAGCCCTCCTCCTCCTCTTTTAACACAGTCCAGATAAGTCTTCATGTGGGGAAAAAAAATCTATAAACATAACACTTTTTTTAGTAGCGGGACCCCATCTCTACAAAATATTTTTTTAAAAAATTATCCGAGTGTGGTGGTATGCGCCTATAGGCATAGCTGCTCTGGAGGCTGAGGCAGGAGGATCACCTCAGCCTAGGCATTTGAGGTTATGGTGACGTATGATTGCACCACTGTACTCCAGCCTGGGCAATAGTGCAAGACCCTGTCTCTTAAAAAAAAAAAAAAAATTTTTTTTTTTTCCTTTGGTGGACACATTGTTCACATTCACTGCACTGCACAAAATCATTTCTGACCCATGGTTGACATGGACTCAAAGTGAAAAAGAAATACAGTGGCCTTGATAGCTAACTTTGTCTTTGGATCTGTCACCATATTATTCCAACCTATAGCATCCTTTGTACTTACTTCTTCCCCTCTGTTACTATTATCCCCATACGCTAATTTAAATACACTCATCGAAAAAATATATATGTTTATATGTATCTCACCAAGATCATAGATACACTTTATTCATCTGAAATCCAATATAGGGATTATTCCCCCTGGTAAAAGGCAAGTCTTTGTAGCTTCTCTAATAAAACTAGAGAAAATGACGTAAAAATCAATAGAGCTTTCTGAAACATCACCGCTGACTAACCCAATTTTCTTCTGTCAGAATAACGTGAGGTTTAATAGATCCGGAGAGTAAACAATGTAATATATCTAGAATTTAATAGGACTTTAACTTTTGCCACATATAATACACCTATATTAAAATGTGGTTCAGGATTATTGTGATGAGGCGCACAGTCTCCAGAGGATTGAACTGTTGATACATGGTTGTTTCAGTCTTGAGGAGTAAATATTCCTTATAGGTTAGACCTTGACCTAATGTACTAGAAATTATTTGTTTCTTGAATGATTTGTTTTGTCTCTAATAATCACACATTTGGATCTCTTCAAAATGTATGAAGGACTCTATATCCTTTGCGCCAACTCATCATCGTAATAAACCCTGGGAGATGGCCATGGCAAGTACTATTAATATGCCAGCTCTCTTGCTTGCTTTGTAACTTGGGGCAAGTTACTATCCCTGACTCTCCCTTCCTCTATAAAAATGTATAATATCATTTTTGTAGAATCATAAGAACTAAATACAATAATGTCTGATGCATGAAAAGTCCTCAATACATATTATCTGTTAGTTTCATTTTACGGGTGAAGAAATGTTCTTAATTGTAGTGATTTTCTGAAGATTATAAAGCAAATTCATTTATTTTACTCCAAATTTTCTCTCTTTAATGATAAAAATAAACTTAATTCTCATTGGTAAAATATGTGATACATTAGGTTGAAATGGTCAGTATTTTAAATTATTATTATACTTTAATAATAATATACTTTAATAATAGGGTACATGTGCATAATGTGCAGGTTTGTTACATAGGTATACATGTGCCATGTTGGTTTGCTGCACCCATCAACCCGTCATCTACATTAGGTATTTCTCCTAATACTGTCCCTCCCCTAGCCCCCGACCCCCCAACAGGCCCCAGTGTGTGATGTTCCGCTCC